TAGCTGATGTAGACTCTGATGGGTTTTTTTACATTTTTCACAGATAGATTCTTTCGAGCCTCATTATATATATTTGTTTAAAATAAAAATAATAAAGTATTATTTTATATATTGAAAATAAAAATGGATTGCGTATAATATAAAGTGAACAGATGATTTTTTTAAAGCGATAGTTAATTAAATATAAGTACTGTAAGTTTCTTTATGTAAATTAGAATTAATTCACCATTTTAAACTGATTTCATCCTTGATTTTTTAAATATATTGATCAATTCGATTTTACTTAAGCACTCAAAATGTCGGAAATATTTTTCAGTATATATAATTATATTTTATCATATTCAAATGTAATTCGCAACGCTCGCGAGCATCATTTAATTCTTCTCTTGTTATCAATTATTAAACGAGCTAAACGTTAAGATGGAACGCAAGCCCTATACATTATTCGTCTATATTCTATAATTTCGCGTTTAATGTTTACAGCCATTTTTGAGCTTAAGGGCCGCGACACAGACTTTTGCATAACGTATAACGCAGAATGCATGAATGAATCAATCAGAATCTTTCCTTTATTATCTTTTCCTCCCATTTCACCGAAAAGAAGAATTATGATTGGTTGAGTTACTTATATTATAAGTTATGCGTTATACAAAAGTCAGTGCTGCGGCCTTTAGGTCCAAATACGTTTCACTTGCGACCTGCGATGTAAATTCGACTTACGAACATCCAACTGAACGCAACCAAAAAGTGCACGCAACGCGAACAGACCATAACCCCGTAAATACAATAGAGGAGTATTAAGGCCGCAGCACAGACTCTTGCATAACGCATAACACGTAGTGCGTCGAATCAACTAATTAATTAATCAGAATCTTTTCTTTCCTCTCATTCTATGAAAAAGAAGAATTTCGTGAGAAGATTGAGTGATTTTCTTATGCACTATGCATTATGCGTTATGCAAGAGTCTGTGCTGCGGCCATTAAACTTTAAGCTTTAGGGAATAGACCAATCATATTTGATTATTTTTTTCAGATTCGATTGTGATTGATCAATTTTCTAAAGTCTTAAGATTTAATCCCATGGCACGTACAAAAACGTAAGGCCATAAGACGTAATCAGTAAACAAATTGCCCAATTACGGTAGAGACTGTAAGGCCAGTAGCGAATCCAATCTTACGATTTCCTTACTGCTTACGTGTTACGATCATACGTTTTTGTATGTACCATGGGCTTTACTACATTTTGTTTTTGCAGGTTAGAGAGTGAGAAAGTGCGAGATAGAGCATTCGAGTGCAGAGCAGTGCAAACAGTGGATGCATTTAGAACGACAACTGTTCTCTGAGCATTCAGTGAGCTCTTTCATCTGATTGATCCATATTTTAGGATCTAACGGAATCAGATGAACGAGCTTAAGCGCTCAATAAGCGGTTGCCATTCTAAATGCACCCAGCAAAGAAAACAAATAGACTTAGCGTGTTTCCCTTCTATGCTTTGTTATACCGACAAACGTTTCGCGCCATTTCAACCCATTCCAATTGTCAGTTATTTCACTACTGCGTATAAGATAAATAATTGGATGACGTTAAAATATTAAATAATTATTACGCGTTTGACACATAACGCATAAAAAATGTCAGAATCCGCCAATACGCACGTAAATCCGCAAGATACTATTAGTATTCTAGTAGCCACGGATATTCATCTTGGTTTCGATTACAGTAAAAAGAGAGGTTTGTTTTTTTGTAAAAGTATTTTTCAACAAAATTGCTATAAACGTAAGAAAAGACATGACATGACATGCGTATAAAATTGAAGATCAGTATTATTTTTAATGTTATCATTTCTCTTAATAGGAGGACAATCAGATGAGAGTTTCGTAACGTTCGAAGAAATATTAAAGTATGGCAAAGATAACGAGGTTGATATGGTTTTGTTGGGTGGTGACTTGTTTCATGAAACTAAGCCTTCACAAACTGCGTTACTTAAATGTGTAGAGTTACTGCGAAAATATTGTTTGGGTCCTAAGTAAGTAATATTTAATTGGATTGTTAAATTTACATTATATTTTTGAATTATATAGTATGTTTTTAATATAATACAATATAATTTTAATGTATTTTTAGAAAATGTGAACTAGAATTCTTGAGTAATTCTGAACAAATATTTCGACATTGTGCACAGAAACATGTGAATTATGAAGATCCGAATTTGAATGTCTCAATGCCAGTATTTACCATTCATGGAAATCATGATGATCCAAGTATATAATTTTTTTCTTTTGGACCTCTAATTATATAAGTTATATATCCTCTGTGTGTGTGTGTGTGTGTGTGTTTTTTATTTTATATATCCTTTTTTTTTTTGTTATCCATTAGGTTTTGGTACTGTCGGATCAATGGATATATTATCAGCTACTGGACTTGTGAATTATTTTGGCAAATGGACAGATCTTAAACACATAGTTATATCTCCCTTAATTTTGAAAAAACGTAATACTCATGTTGCTCTTTATGGTCTGAGTTATATCAATGACCAAAGGTTATGGAGATTATATAGAGATGATAAGGTACATTTTGTATCAAGCATATTTTTTTTATCTGTGTGATCATGCAGAATAATAACTAATGTAACTTTTGAAAATAGGTCGAGTTGATACAACGAACGGACCTAGAGACTTTCAACATATTTGTTTTACATCAGAATCGTGTCAAAGTTCGTGATGCTTATATATCAGAAGATAAACTGCATAAATTCCTCAATTTAATTATTTGGGGGCATGAACATGAATGTCGCATTAAGCCTGAATTTAATCAACAAGGCGAATATTTTATTTCCCAACCAGGTAAAACTATATTTTTTTTTGTAATACATATTTGGACATACAAGTGGAGGTTATTTCAGAATTCTCTAAAATTGTTATATATTAAACTAATTTTAGGAAGCTCCATTGTTACTTCTTTATGCGAAAGTGAATCGAAACCCAAACATGTAGGTCTTCTTAAAATAAATAAAAGTAACTTCAAAATAAAACCTTTAAAATTACAAAGTGTTCGCCCATTTATTTTTGATAATTTGGTTCTTCATGATCATGATATTAAAATGAGAAATTGCATCTCGTTAGCAAATGCTATTAGTCAATATGTAGATCAATATATTGAAAATAATATCATGCCTAAAGTTGCTGAACAACTCACAGGTATATCAATTATTTTAATTTTACCTTATAAATGTTATTTTTATTTAATACATAAGAAAAACTCATTTTAGGATATCCTGGTCAACCACTACAGCCTTTAATTCGATTAAGAATATTTTATGACGATGACAGTGAACAATTTGATACATTAAGGTTGAAAATTTTCTAATAGCATTCTAATATTACATTTGAAATTGCATATATACTTCATATTTTACTCTTTCTTATTCTAAAAAAAAATATGCTTTTAGTTTGGCACAACGATATTGTGATGAAGTTGCTAATCCTATGGACATGATTTTATTCCGTAAAAGAAAGACCGGAGACAAAGGAAAACGTACTATTGAAGATGAAATTGATGATCCAGATGATATCGCAGAATTATTCGAAGGAGATGTAAAAAAACAACATAGTTTCCTTATTAAACTGATTTTGTTTCATGGCATTTTAGCATTGCTTGGAGTTTTTCTTTTTATAGAAAGGGGAAAATTGGACTAGCACAGTGCAAGGAGGAATTAAAAAATATTTCGATATGGAAGAAAATAAAGATAAATTAACAGTATTAACTGTAACAGCAATGAATGAAGCTTTAAATCAATATGTTGAGAAAAGTGACTTAGATGCCTTTAGAAGTGTCGTAAGGTAGTAATTAGTGATGATTTTTTTTCTGAATTAATATTCGAGAACAATTCACATTTATGTTAAATTGTTTTATGGATTTACTTGTTAGAAATCAAATGAAAAGAACTATAGAACATTTAAAAGCGCAAGATGTTGAGACACCAGAAGAGATTCGCGAAGAAATTAAAATTTTCCGTGACAAAAGGCTTTCAGAAGAACAGGAGGAACAGAATAATGTAATGATGCTTATATGTGACATTTATGTGTATACATATGTAATATTTGTATTGATATATATACTTCTTTCTTTTGCAGGTTTCGGAATTACTAAACAGATCACCGCAAACGAGTTGGAGAGACCTTAAGCAATCTCGCTTACAGATAAGCAATATCAATGTATCAAATAGTGATGATAGTGATGAAGATTTAACTTTGAGTAAGATTAAAGGAAGGGGAAGGGGTTCAAGAGGCGGTAGAGGATCCAGAGGCCCGAGAGGAAGTCGCAGTAGAGGAAAATCTAATGAAACAAATGCTTCTATTCTAAAAATGCTGGTATGAATAATATAGTTAATATAATAAGTTAATTTATATATATATATATATAAGTTTAAAAATATCTTTAAAATATGTTAATTTAAATATTTAATGAGTACATCTATTTTTTTAGAATTCCAGAAATGCACAGTCGAAAAAAATTGATCACATTATTATAAGTGATTCTGATTAATTATTAAGTATTCTGCATGAAATGTATACATGTGTTAAAATATGTTAATTTAAATATTTAATAATTACGCTAATTGTTAAACGGAATTCAAAAAATGTTCAGTCGACGAAAACTCAAGCACTTATAAGTTATAATTAATTATTAAATACTACAAGAAAAGATATGCATATGAGTGAACGTTGTTATAAACATTATTTTGTATGAATACAAAATTTAATAAAATTTATAAAACAAATATTCGTATTTATCATTATGTATTTGAGAAAACTATGTAATTATTGGCTGATTTTTATTTAATGTTTAAATTTAGTCTTTTAAAATCTTATCCATAAGATTCGATATCCAATAAAAGGAATTTAGCTAGTACTGTTTCCACGAAAGGAACTTCTATTGGATCCAGTTGTCATTAGACGAGGACACAGCTAAATTCCCTGTCATGCGCAGAACGATCGCATTTTGGTTAGAGAACTGCGTCACCGGAAGCGTCCTTTTTAAGGTTTTTGTTAAATCGTGCTGGAACAGGAAGGTTATAGTCCTTACAATTCGCAGGTATTTTAAACACCAATATCACAAATATCGTTTTATTTATCAAAAATATTAAATTATATTTATAAATTGAATATTTATAAGTAAGTTCCAACTGCGAAATAACTTTTGTACTTAGCAGCATGTGTGGATGTAGTTGGATGAATTTTTGCATTGACATAACCTTAAAATCTGTCCTAAAAATGTTTATACGGATATTATAATAAATATAATAGCAGATGGTCGAGTTACAGAATAATAAACGAAGATACCCGTTGTTTTTTTTTAGAAATGCCACCAAAAAGAGGAAAGGTACAGAAGGAAGAAGTGCAGGTCTCTCTCGGGCCTCAGCTTCGTGAAGGAGAAGTCGTATTCGGAGTAGCTCACATCTTTGCCAGCTTCAACGACACATTTGTGCACGTTACCGATCTGTCGGGCAGGTTTGTACTAGATTTATGTTAGAATATAATCAGAGAACTCAATCATGTAACTTTTCCTAGGGTACAAATATGAAAAGTAAAAATGTTTAGTATTTACGTGTATAAATGTACGTACGTAAAAATATTTATTTTTTATATTTCTGATCTCGAGGAAAAGTAACATGATTGTTATCCAATGAGCTCTAATATGCTGAAAAGCTTCCATCATTAAAACAGCTAAGTTGATAAAGAATATCTACAGGATATTTCTCAAGAGGCCTAGTTTTACAACTCATGGTTAACTCTTAACAGAGGTTCGACTTGTTTATCTTTTTCCAATTCTAAAATTGAAAAGAGATAATGAATATGTTGAACCTAGGTTATGAGTTAATCGTCAGTTGTAGAACTAGGCCTAAGCCTGTATTGTTTTGTACTATGTTATGTTGTTCCAATTTTTCTAACAGATAATAAAATAATCTCTATACCAATTACACTTTTCTTGATTCATTCTTGTTGAGCAAAATCCTCTTCTCTCTCCTTATAAGCTTTTCAGGATATTGTAGAGTTCCTTTATATGACCCTATAATAATAATTCCAATACATTAAGATAAAATTGTATATTTGCATTTACAGAGAAACAATTGCTAGAGTTACTGGTGGCATGAAAGTAAAAGCAGATCGTGATGAAGCCTCACCATACGCAGCTATGCTTGCAGCTCAGGTTATTAACTTGATTATCATTACATTTGAATTAGTTTGAGAAAATGTATTATTATCCACATTCAGGCAGCACCTAGATGTAAGATTATTATAATCTAAGGAGTGTTCACGTGTTTGTGGAAAAGCAAGTTCTTTTTAATAATTGAGAACATGTGCTTGCATCATGCACTTTTTCTCTGTAAAGAAAGAAGACATTCAAACATGTCCTTTATCAATTATAACTATTCGATATATTAAAATATTGATAAAATATAAACTATAATTTTTTGTTTTATAGGATGTTGCAGAAAAATGTAAATCTTTGGGCATCACAGCACTGCACATCAAATTGAGAGCTACGGGAGGCAATAAAACAAAGACTCCTGGCCCAGGTGCACAATCTGCTCTGCGCGCTTTAGCCCGGTCAAGCATGAAAATTGGTCGTATTGAAGATGTTACTCCTATTCCATCAGATTCTACTCGCAGGAAGGGAGGTCGTCGTGGACGTAGGCTATAAGCTGTTCTTATGGCTTTCTGTATGGAGTGTATTATCTTTCAATAAACATATTTAAAAAAACTTGAGAAAACTATTTTTTATTAAAGCACATTTTATTAAAGCACATTTTTTTTTTTAATATAGGCGACAGCTTGAAAATTACAATTTATGTTTGTTTTATTATTAAGAAGTAATCTAAAAGAAGTAATTTTCATGATACATGAAAAAAATATATATATGTATATATAAATTATAACAAATATTCTTAATACGACTTAATTTTCTTTTTTAATTACAATATAAAAAATTAGATAAATGATTAAGAGCATTCTTACATTTTGTATTCATACATATAGACTATCAATGAATATATTATGAATATCAAGCTTAACACAAAAATAATACATCGAAGTATAAATATTTAAGTATCTTTAATATTTAATTTATAATCGACTACTGAAAAAACTAAAGCATTTATGTATAGAGTATTCTATTTTGCAATTCCAATGAAATTGAAAAAGATTATGTTTCGCCAACTAACTGACCAACAGTAAGATATAACTTGACCTTTGCATCTACTTTTTGCGGAGATTTTTGTTTTAGCACAATAGTATTTACGTATCCATGTTGCATGACAAATCCAACTATAATTGGATCTTCGTTATCTTTATTTGTATCGTGTGGAATCACGTGCAAACGTATGACTGCTTTATTTCCTTTTCGTATTAAAGCACATCTAAAAAAAATTGTATAAATAAAAATTGTATAAATTCATATTATCTTTTTGTATTAATTTTACATAATTTATATTTTTCACGTACTTTGGATCATCCTGAAAATTATGATTATCATTCGTATCATCATATTCAGCAGCATCATCTCTTGGTGGAAGAATCAACGAACTATGAGGCAATATCAAATCTGCATTTGGTACTACTTTTATTGCCTTAGGATCTTCTGTTACAGGTGCTTGTCGTACAGTAGACGGCAATAAATTCGAAGATTCACTCGTCTGCAATTATAATTAAATTATTAAAATATGTTGCAGTTTATGATAAAATTCTAATTTGATATTACTTGCGTATCCTCTTGTTTAACATCTTTTTCCTCAGTGAGTGAAGTAGATAACGAAGTATCCAAAGGTAGTATAGTTATTTGAGTTTGATGCTGCGTTGGATTGCAGAATTTCAGAAGCAATTCACTTGATTTTCCTGATCGAAGTGGTTCACAAGTAACAATCTTGACTTCTGGGATATGATGACTAAAAAAAGAATAATACAATTTCGATTATACATTCAAGAATATAAAAATCAAAATTATTGTATATATTATTTTATGTATTAGTATCATGACTGATGTTAATAATTGATCCTTTAACGTAATACCTACAATGCAGCTAGTAAAATCTTGAATTTTGTTGATTGAGGACAAAGATCTGATTTGCTAACATTATGTTCACATACTCTGCAACGTTGCGATCTTTTGACTAAAAACTGTCTGTGCTGAGGACGCAATTCATTTATTTTCTCAGCTTGTACTTCCGGATGCTGTAATCTTTGTTCCAACGTAGTAACTATTACACAAAATTACATATATTTAAAACAAAGTTTATATCAATGTTGCCACTCATGTCATTGAAAATTTTCTTACTTTTAGTTATATCTACAGATTCTGTAAATATATCGCTTGATAATTCATCCACTTCTTCACTTGCAATGGATGGTACTGGTTGAGCAGATGATTGAGATTGCATTGGCGGTTTCATGGGACGTCCAATACGCTTGCGAACCAACGCTGATGTAAAACTGTACATTGTCTGCTATTGGAAAGCAAATAGTTAGAAAGACGTTTTTAAACAAATACATAATTAGAATAATTCTCACTAAACACTTACAGCTGGCATAAAAGAACGTTTCGGATGAATTTTCTTCCTTTCACATTGCTGTTTCTCTATAGAGGCTAATACCTTGTGATAATCAATAAGAGCATTAATACGCATTACATGTGGATTTTCCTGTTCGGGCCATCCTCCAGTTGCTACAAGCAGAAATTGAAAATATAATAAAATTGACACAAAGATTAAAAATCATTGCAATAAATAGAGAAAAGGCTAATAAGCTAGACTGTGCTTATTTATCTAAGTATATAATTTTTTAAATTATCTAATTATACATATCAATATATAAAGTATTTAGGAATACATAAAGTACTTAATATTGTTCAATACATAAATATAAAGATATAATTAAATCAGAATAATTAGATAAATAAGCAGCATGGCTAGCCAGATTCATCAATTCTTTCTCTATTTATTATAACAATTCAAAGTATAAGTTAGGAAAATGTTCTCTATTCAGCTTTTATTTATAAAATTATTTAATAGCAAAACTTCTTACCTACGGATTGATCAGGTATTCCTGCATCTCGAGAACTCCATCGGCACAATGAACAGAATAGATAATATACTTTTTTAGGAGTAGCTTTAACATCCTTGTTTTCTTCCCCCTCAGTTGGTGCTGCTGCTCTTACAGGTGCTAGTCCTGCTCTTGTCGATAACGTTTGAAAACAGCAAGGACAATCGAAGCAATTGGAACATCTGTCAATACAAATTATTCAATATAATAACTAAATTCACAATCTCTATCTCTAACATATGAAGTCTAATATATATGAACATACTTGTTCTTTTTAAGACGTACTTCCGATGATGGCAAATTTTCCATGCAATTGGGACAATAATGAGAGTCAACCTAAATACAAAAGAAACATTTTTTTATAAATAAGAACTTTATACATGTTAGAGTACATTTTGTTGAATGGATTCAGTAAAAATATTTCCTATTATATTCTTTTGTTCAAATTTATAGATTAAAAAAAATCGCACCTCCTGACAGACACAGTAGCCGCATCGTATCATCAAGCAATGTCGGCAGAAATATATCTTCGATATAGGTTTTAAGGAGCCACAATTGCACAAGTAGCGCACGTAATCTGGTTGATTCAAGTAAGTCATACTGAATGGAAAAGTTCAACAATTACGAAATGAAACAGTAGAAATGTCACTCGACATAACCTAAAAATAAGACAACTATCTTCTACTCAAAGTGACGTTGTCATTCGGTCACACCAACGCAACACCTATCACCGACTAGCAGACAGAAACCTCCATACATCAGCGCCAGTACATATATTTTCGATGTAAGAACTATATAGTTATATATTGACGATAAAATCATCGTAAATAAATCGTAAATAAATGTGGCGAGTCCGTACTAAATTGTAGTGCTAAATTATATCCGCTAGATTGCTTCAAAAAGTATAATATAAATTATAATGGCTTTATTATATTTTATTAAATCGATTTTTCTTTCATACTGTCTCTTCGACAGTCATCCTTTAGTCTAATTGTTTTTTATTTTCAGAAATATAATTTCCGTATTCAGAACGCGCTTTCAACGATAAATATGTGTTAAATACGTGCTAACATCGTAAAAGCGTGTTCTAAATATGTACAGGATTCTCCGACTTCACGAAACACACACCCTCAAATTCCGAAAAAGACTGAGATTTCTTGCGCGTGGCGTTTATATATCTTTTCTGAAAGCTAGCGCGGTCCAATGAGCGCTCGGATCTAGTACCCGCAGTGAGATTCGCTGTCATTGGCTGGCTTGAGAGTGGTGGGGTTCGAGGTTCCGCGACTCCTATAAATAACGGGTAATTCGTGATCTCGCGTTTTTGCGACTCGATCAGTGGACACGGTTGTGTCCTGTAACATTACGTTGAAACATCTCGCACTCCTGGCTTCGAGTTAATCATCGACCTTTCCTCCAGAAGTATATCCTAGTTCCTGTAGAGAATAATAAAAACGACGGAAAACGGCTCGAAAGAATCGCGCGTTCGAATTATACTAACAAGGTAACAAATATTGTCAAATATTTTCTCGACGCGAGAAATGTTTAAGAACCGATCGCTTCTCGGATAGTTTTAACATATCCGTTAAA